TGAACACATTGATGGGTCAGATATAGAACAAACCATATGGTCATGTCGTGCAGCAGCTGCAGGTACTTATTATCTACTAAGTTAACATTTCCGTTACCCTAATACTTTATTACTGGCACTCTATTGTTAACAAATCAATGCTTTTGATTTTTCATTCAACTCTTGGCTTCATGCCTATGGAGTTAATCCTAGTAGCCAATAACTTAAAGCTTGCATTTGAGCTTTATAATCGAGAACATTTAACACATAATTTGCACCTTGTTCTGGTTCCTGTACTAATAATGCCAAAGTTAAGATATGAGCTTGAACTGGAGAACAAAGACTAGTTTGTTAAGGCTTGTAGAGGTAAAAGAAGATATCTTAACTGGACCATGATGGAGGGATGCAAAACATCTACCTAAACAACTCGTTGTATTGCAGGCAAAATATGGTATTTTTAAAAAGTGGTTTGATCTGGTCACTTGTTATGGAATTTGTTTTTTGTGTGTTCTTTCTTTTGGCTTTTTAGTGGAATTGTTGTGTTGATGTGGATTTTCCCAGGCTAACAATCTTATTCCTTTCCGCTATTGTGCATTTTATCTGAAGAACGGCTGTGGACACCTTATGACAAGCTTGCTAAGGATCCAAGTGAGGTTACTGAAAGGTTAACTAATTTCAGATGTTTATTGAATTGAAGAGGAGTTGCTGCTGCTCCATTATCTGGACCAGGCCGAGTAGCTCCTTTTGAGCCAGGTTCCTGCCACGTGTGCAAGAAGAAGCAGAAACACTTGAACTAGTCCCAGTTGTGAAAAGCCTGTTCGACTGTAAATTAAAAGGGGGGCCCATTTTTATGTACCAGTTGCTTTATCCAATTTCTTCAATAAAAAGCTTTTGTCTTTTGTCTACAATTGAAGCACAACTTAAAAATTCAACTAAATGCATGGATCTTTTCATCTTATTTTTTGCTTAACACCACTTTAAGGAAACCAGCCAGTTATGTACCCTATATATTCTATGTTTTCAATTAGTCATACAAAAATGCCTGAAATTCTATTATTGCCTTATATCCACTCCTAGATATCAACAAAGTTTGTGAATAACACTCCCACACAAGGTCCTTACTATGTGGGGTTAGGACTGTGGAGTGATGCTTCGAAGAGGTAGTTCAAATAGTTTAAAGTATGAGATTCTAACTTCGAGTTCTTAAGTTTAAACCTTGAATCAGATGGGGAGAGATTTGTAAAAAGGGGAGAACTATTGTCTCTTATATATAGTCCACCGTTAAATGTACCAAAAAAGGACTATTAAGTAATCAATAATGAGATTAACCTTAATAAACAAACAAACAAGCAAGCAAACAATATTAATATAAACATTTCACAAATGTATAACCAAATAAACAGATTCCAAGTCATGCATATGGCATTGGCAAATAATAACTAGATCAACAATCCATCAATGTTAGCATTAACATAACCTTAATAACAGCATACAGATCAATACCACGCAGAGCACTAGGGGGGCACTAGAATACTGTCATTTTGCAGAGAAAATCCACATCCAAGTCCAACCATATTGTAACATCCCTCTTTTGATAAACAGTGGTTTATCAAGTAAAGGAATGTTTTGTTCATAATTTCAATTCAAATGTTCTCTATTCATAGGTAGATTTGAAGTTTGTGTCATTTTAAGGTTAAAGTCAAAATGCTAGTGTAGGAAAGGAAGCTTGATGTATTAGGTGGTAGAGAATTTGTGTAGTTACTTGAGAGAAATTAGAGTGCATAGATATTAAAAAAAGAAAAAAAGAAAGAGACAATAAATTTGTGAAAGTGTTCTTTATGCAATGCAAAAAGAAAAAGAACTACTTATGAGAACAAAAGAATTGTTTTACATATATATCCTAGGCTCAAAGTTTAGTACAAAATAAATTAAAAATTCATAGACCCAAGTTTTAGACAGACACAAATTTGTCTTACTAACTACTTAGATGCATAGCTCATAGTTTGTATCGGAAATCCTCCAGAAGAACTTAGGATCAGCAACTACCCTTCACTAGTGCTATCTGAAATGGTGGAAGAAACACCATGAGTGTAAGCATAATTCCTAACTTTAAGTTAAATTGATGTTCCTTGCTAGTTCTTTATGCAGAAAATTCCAACAATAGTTTCTAACTTGTTCTGATCATATAGATTTAAGATATTGTAGCCATAGAACATTCACACAAACATAGCACAATAAATGAAAATAACACAAATTATGGACTCCACTAAATGTGCATGCACCCAGATTAGGTGCCAAAACTAGTCATGGCACTTACCTACTAGGCTAGGCTCCAATCTCTCCGTAGTTCTTAGGCAATTATAAACAAAAGTTTATTCAGTATAGAATCATGCATAACATGTTCGTTATGTAATGTAGTTTGTAGAATCACTAGAAATAGGAATAACATTACCTAGGTCATTTGCACAGAAAATAATTCGGAAAGTGTGATACAAGTATAACATGTTAATCTCAAACTTGAACTCATTAAAGTGCAGTAATATCACCACTAATCATAGTTCCTGATCTTAGTTATCTAACTTAGATATCAATCTTTATTGTTCATACAGTTATTCAATAAAACCAGGCTCCAGCACAGGTTGTTTTTGCATTATGTTTCTTTACTTCTACTAGTATCAGTGTTATATAGCTTTGATTTGTAGTACTTAATTTCTTATGTATGTTCTATTTAACTTATTTATATACCTCTTATTATGTTTGTTAGTTTAGATTTAAAATTAAGAATTATACTTACCACACACTAGTTTTAAATTCTGGACTTGGCAGAATTCCTCAAGAATCTCCAAGTCTGCTTATCTGCATATCTGCAGCTTCTGTATCCTTCCCCTTAGGTCCAGCTAAAAGGAAAAATATAGAAAATGGCTAATTTAGTTGTAAGACACGGATATACTCCCGTAGACAAGGTTAAGTGGGTTTGAAATGCTTTTCACTTAGCCAAACTTCATCTTAGGACACTTGTCATTGACATTAACAGGTTAATAGACACCTGGACTCCACTAATCTAATTCCAAAAAGAACATGCAACCAAAATTAAAAATTATTACAGATTAATCCCTAATTTTATATACAATTAAGAATGACTCAATGCAAATGAGGACAGAACAGCATACATATTCTCTGCATCAATTATACATGCAAGATAGCAATTAGAAAATAGTTAGGGAACAACAAGGAATACAATTCTTTTAAATGCTGAGGCCAATCTTCAGGGATAACACACACATGCGGCAAAACATTGTGTAAACACACACACGTGGTTAGTAGTTAGGAGAGGAAATTAAGTAGATTACATTTTAGCGATTCGAGGAACTCTTCTAATTTTTTCTTTGCTTTTTTCCAATTATTCTCCCAAATATCCTCCCTGCAGGAAAAAAATATTACGTTCTCAATTTAAACAGTACAAAAAATATCACAAAAAAATAAAGAGCATACATGCAATTTTATACTAGCATTTACTTTATAATATCCCGTGGTCGTTCATATTCAAATGCTTCAAGAACATCATTCCTATGACGCCCCCTGGAAGAAAAAGAAATACGAACTCATTTTAATTAACATTAAAAAGAGACATCATAAAATAAAAGTATACACGTAATTTTGTAGCATTTACGTTCTAAATTTCGCAGGTGTATTATCTTCAAAAATTTGTTCTGTTTCCCTCCAAACCCAACACTCCCTCCGCCTGCAAGAAAAAGATATATGTATTCAATTTAACAGTTGAAAAAAAAATCACAAAATAGAAGTATACGCGCAATTTTTTGCAGCATTTACAC